AGAGGGTTGTTACAAATGGAGTTCAGTCAAACTGGATTAAGGTCACAAGTGGGGTATCTCAGGGTTTAGTATTAATGCCTTTGCTCTCTTTGATTTACATCAATGACACAGATGAAGGAATGGTCAATAAATTACTTAAATTTGTTGATGATATTAAGGTCTTAGGTGTTTCTAGCTGTGAGGAGGATGCTGCTGCCTTACCAAAGGATTTAGATCATTTAGTGAGTTGGGTAAATAAATGGCAGATGGGTTTTAATTATAATAAATTCAAGATAATGTATGTGGGTTATCATAATTTGAATTATAAGTATAATTTGGATGGGAATGATCTTAATAGTGTCATGAAAAAAAATGGATCTTGATGTAATAGTTGATCAATCTCTTAAGCCATCCAAACAGTGTGCTGTTACTAGTGGTGTGGCAAATAGGATTTTAGGTTGTATCTACAGAAACATTGAATACAAGTCTAAAGAGATTATAATTTCCTTGTATAGGTCACTTTTGGAGTATTGTGTTCAGTCTTGGGCTTCTTACCTTAGAAAAGACATGGAATTGTTGGAAAGGCTTCAGAGTAGGGCTATTAGAATGGTGCTTAGGATGGAGGAGTTGTCATATGAGGAGAGGTTAAGATCTCTGAAATTGTTTTCTCTTGAAAAAAAGAACAGTTAAAGGGGATCTGATTGAGATGTTTAAACGTTTTTATGGGAATTGATAGTGTTAATGCATCATCTTTTTTCATACTTAATGGAAATAATTGCTAAGATCAGGGGACAAAAATATGACAGGAGTCATCTTCAGCTAAGACAGTTTCATTTTTCTAACAGGGTGGTTGGCCTTTGGAATGGGTTGACTTCAGATGTTATGGAGGCAGTAAAGTTAAGTGAGTTTAAGAAAAAGCTTTATAACTATATGAATGATAAGGGCTGGTTTTAAGGTTTTTTTATTTGATTGTTTTAGTTTAGAGGATTGAACAGCCTAGATGAACCATAGGTCCCTTGTTGTTCCTAAACATTTTGTTATATTTAGGTTAAAAATTAAACTTAAATAAAACAACTGGTCAACAACCTTGTTTATGTTCATAAGTGTGGTGGTGCTGAGTAAATGGTTTAAGAAATATGATTCATTAGAAAAGTGACATGAAACCATCTAAGTAAAGCTATTAAATTTTACAATGAATGGTCAACAAAATATTCCAAGAGCAACAATTAAACAAGATTCTGTTTCTGTTAAAAGTCACAGCTTACTAACAAATTACTAGATAACTAGTTCAGTTACTCTATTAAAATACAATTTATAAAGCAATGTGTTAGTATTTAAATAAAGGAATTTCAATATAAGAAGCAATTAAGCACAAAGTGAGAAAACTTGTATACAACTGGGACATCTACTTCATGTTAACTTGGGTTCTTTGAAACAGTTCTTTATTCATATCTGCATGAAAGGAACATAAAAATAAAACCTTCCAAATATGCAGAATGTTCAGAAACTGATTATAGGGAGTAAAAGCAATATGGTGGGCTGGTGGTTAAAAAATTACCTGTGCAGTTAAGTGTTTCAGGCTTATCAGCCTACAACTTACTGTTAGTTGTACATAGTAACATTTAAAATTTAAAGAACACACCAACTGATCTTCAAACATGTCTTATGATTAAAGAAAGAAAAGGAAAAATAAACTGTGCCTTAGGGGAAAAGAAAATATATATATACATTGAAGAAGCAGATTTTTGTGGTTAGTTGCAAAAAAAAAGCAGCATACCTGGGTTAATTTATTACACAGTTCTTGAAGTATACACTGCTTAAGTTGCAAAAAAAGAAAGCAGCATGCCTGGTTTAATTGATTACACAGTTCTTGAAGTATACACTGTTTAAGTTGCAAAAAAAAGCAGCATACCTGGTTTAATTTATTACACAGTTCTTGAAGTATACACTGTTTAAGTTGCAAAAAAAAGAAAGGAGCATGCCTGGTTTAATTCATTACACAGTTCTTGAAGTATACACTGTTTAAGTTGCAAAAAAAAAAAGGAGCATGCCTGGTTTAATTTATTACACAGTTCTTGAAGTATACACTGTTTAAATAATGATTTGGCACAAAACAAATTCATATGTCAGTATAGCATTATATATTTTTTTACTCTTAAGCAATATAATTTATGAAAAAAAAGTGTATTCTTCCTATTTGTAGTCGATGTGGTGAAAAGCAACAACTTTTTAACATCCTATTCTTTACTTGAATATGGCTTACTAAGGTACATGAACATTAAAAAAAGATCATGTGATTGAAAGAAACATAACAAACAAACTACATAATATAAAAATGTTAATTTTGCAACCATCCTTACAGGAAACTTAACTTCTTCATCCAGGACTTTGTCTCCAACCACCTGAAGAGATGTGAAGATTTGTTACTTGCATTATATCAGAATATCAATGTGCATTAGTTTAGAAATATATGGTATCTTAGCTTGTATATTTATAATTATCTCACAATCAGTTCTACAGTTTAAAAACAACACTAACAACTTAGATATACTAAAATAAAAAATAACTTTAGATCAAACCACTGTTTAAGATTAACTCAAAGTAAACAGAAATATTTAGATAACAGTTTGTGGCTTTTACACTTGTGTGCATTTGTAATGTTTACAAAAAAAATCTTCCATATTCTTCAGAAAGGCTTTTTTTTTTTCCTCATTTAAATGAAAAAGTGCTTCAAACAAACAAGAATAGTTGATTTCTAGATTAGCCAGTAATTTTTCAGAATCAGTAATTCAGAGCTTTAAAACTTGTATGGATGATTAGAAAAAAAAAGGAACACTGATAAAGGATAAATATTATATACAGTAAAGAACTTTCTTCAAAGTCTACAATGTACCACTAAAATGTTCTTTACTATTACAAACTATTTAACTTGTTAATTTTACATAAACTAAGAAATGGCTAAGTATTACTTCAAATTAAAAATTTCTTTTGGTTTTAAAATTTCCTATTTTCTCCTAGACTTTTAGCATTTCTTGCATATCTAAAAATGTTCTAATTTCAACTCTGACAGTATAATTTGGGAAACAACTTGTTTAATTTCTATAAAACCTATATTACTGTAAACGAATTCTAGTTTAACTTATGACATATGAAGCCACAACTAATTCTACCAAATATTTGATCTTGCCATAAAATTCTTTATACACAATAAAGAAAATTCTTTAAAGTTTATTAAGTATCACTAGAATGTTCTTCACTATTACAAATTGTTTAACTTCTTAATTTAACACTTTATTATGTTTAAAACACACCTTGCAACAAAGTTCGTCCTGATCATCAGATACAAACATAAGGAAACTCTGCTGAGCATTAGTCTGAGCTTCAAGCTAAAAAGTTACAAAAAACAAAACAGGTTTATGTGTTACAAAATTTCCCTTAAGTGATAAATTAATATTTAACGAGTCATTAATTCCTTTTACTCTCTTCCAACTAAATACAAGTTAAGTGAATATGTTAGCTAAGTTTTATTGGCACACACAAACACACACAAATAGGTTGTCCCATCCACTAAACTATATATGTGTGTGCGTGTGTGTATATATTATACACTCAAAGCCTGCTCTTATTATCCAAATATTAATCAAGACTTCCCTTAAATTTACTGCTTCCACTACATCTTAATGCAACCCATTTCAAAAGTCAACCACCCTGTTAGAAAAATGAAACTGTCTTAGCTGAAGATGACTCCTGTCATATTTTTGTCCCCTGATCTTAGCAATTTTCTCCATTACGTATGAAAAAAATGATGTATTAACACTATCAATTCCCTTAAAAAATTTTAAACAATCAGATCTCCTTTAACTATTCTTTTTTCAAGAGAAAACAATTTCAGAGATCTTAACCTTTCCTCATATGACAACCCCTCCATCCCAGGCACCATTCTAATAGCCCTACTCTGAAGCCTTTCCAACAATTCCATGTCTTTTCTATGGCAAGGAGCCCAAGACTGAACACAATACTCCAAATGTGGCCTAACAAGTGACCTATACAATGAAATTATAACCTTTTTAGACTTGCATTCAATATTTCTGTAAGTACAATATATAATCCTATTTGCCCTACCACTAGCAACAGCATGCACATTGCTTGGATGATTTAGGAAATTGATGAACACAAAGATCCTTTTCTTCCATAACATCATTGAGATTATTCCAATTAAATTTATACTTATAACTCAAAGTTTAACATTTCATATACATTATCTTGGCTTTATGATAAAAGACATCTGCCATTTATTTTCCAAACTCAATATTATCAGCAAATTTAATTAATTTATTGATGATTTCTTAATATATTCATTAATGTAAATCAAAAACAAACAAATGTCCTAACAGTATATTAGAAGTAGGGCTAAAAGAACCAGTTTTTAGTTTTTTCCTGTTAATATTCTTGATGAAGAAATTTATCACTAATTCTAAAATTTTAATGCACAGTTTCAAATAGTTCTAAGAACTAACATATGATAATAATAGATAAAAACAAAAACAACTTGCTGTTTGAAAACTGAAGTTGAATTGTTGTAATCAAGTTATTACACTGATTACTTACAAATTTAGTTATCTTCACTTGGATGGAACTAGTGTCTTGATCATGCAAATTCTCTGCAAAATTATATAAGGAGTTAAACTAAATTGTTTATAATACACTTAAAAGAACTAAACTTAATATTAATAATTAATTATACAAATTTAATAAAATCATTTAAATACATATTTTTCTCATAATAACTTGAAGAATCTTAAATCATTTACAGGTTTGATATAGCTACTGTACTTCCATGTTAATGAAAACTAGAATAATTTCATGGTTAAAAGAATATGGTTTTAGAATATATTTTGCTTGATTCACTTACCACACAATTTAAGTAAAAGACAAGGGTCAGATCTCATCTTGGTTGTTGATTAACTGGTCCCTGACTTTAAAAGAAATTATGATGATATTAACTTTAAATAATAATCACAAAAACATGCAGCTTTCTTTTAGAATATTTAATCAGTTAACATTAATGTTATTAACATTTTTACTTTAAGTTTAATATCCATATTTGTTGTTTAATTTTAATGTATCTTGAGCTAACTTTACACATTAAATTTGTGGGATAATATTAAACTTCAAGTAATACCAAATACAAACTCACTACCTTTTCACTGTGGCAATCAAAATCAGTATTACTTGTTCAACAAGAATGATGATTTAGATGAAGTCTGAATATAAATCAAGCACTAATAATAATATTAGATTATTACTAAATTACTTAAGGCGCTATTTCATAGAAAAAGGTGACCTTGAACAGTACTAGTAGCATCATGCAGATAATACAATTCTCTATTCACAATGCTTTCTATAACTTATAGGAAGCATTGTAACTAAATGCAAGTAGAGGATTGTATGAAGTAACCACAGTTTGCAAGTTAGTTACACAAATAACATCCAGGACGTCAAACCTTTCTGTTTTTTATTCATTTTACATAACAAAACAGTCACAGGTTACACATCAATGAATCATTAACTAATTATTACCTTCTTAACTCTTAAGACAAAAGTTAAGAGTACGACTTTAAGACTGAGTAAGAGCACAAAAGTAAATTTTAATGTAGCTTGTAAGTTGTACTGTTGTAAGATCTTTTATTTTTATTCCAGAATTAAATTTTCTCGCATGTGAGTAAGAGTGTTGACACTGTTAAGAGCTACACAATAGGTTTACCTGTTTTGGGTTCGTTTTCAATATAACGTATTCTTACTACATTACATACGTCAACTACAGAACTCAAAACTAAAGTGCCGTTTATCATGACGAGTGCAACAATTACAAAACTGTGGTTGATACACCGCTTGCTACCACTATTGCCACCTGTACAAAGTATAAGGTATTATTGAATATTCATATTATTTTGATTAATTATATGATATATAATTAATCAGCATATAAAATCAAGCGGAAACTAAGTTATATTTGATGCGATACTTGAGTGCTATTATTAAGAGACTGTAAAGTATAATCTGACAAAAGTCAGAAAATTTTGAAATGTATTTATTTGAAATAATGAGTTACACAAAGATTCATATTACTGTATTAATGACGAAATATCTGACGCTCAATAATATTTCAACCACATCACGAAGACTGCTCAGAAGTTGTGACTTGTAGTTGATGTTGCAATTCGTTACAGTCTCGTAGCAAGAGGAGGGCAGTCGCCTCCGGGCGCAGGTGTGAAGGGACGCAAAATTTCCTCTGGCCTATAATTAATAATTATGCCCTCCCCTAGGATATAGCGCAACTGCCCTACGTTAAGTAAATACGACACAGTGTTACGTTATTTGTGTGTGTATTACGATTGCAGATTTAACTTTTAAAAGCCGCCCACTGAAATACAGTGAGATCGAACTGACGTACAGAAGTAAATTACACTATTCTATCATTCATCTGTAGATCAAATACAAGTTCTAGAGTACAACGTACAAGTAAGTGTATGTTCAACAAAAAGAAAATACGAGTTTGATGTAACATATTAACTGGTGTGCATGATTGGCAATATATGCAACAGTCAAGGCCTAGATCTAGATCTAGTAAACATTATAGGCCTAATGCAGTGGTTTGTAATTGTATTGGCTGATTGTAAATGATGTCTTACACCAACTAATGTACTAGACTTTAGGTCTAATTGCAGTTATAACTTTATTTCTAGACCCTAGGTCCATCATCATACAAATTGTAGCCTGTATTATAGGCATACTTAGACCTATACTAACTATTAAATTAGGCATTGAA